GGAGCGGGTAATTCGGAGTAATCCACCCCTGACGTAACCCTCCCTCCCTGGGAAGAGCCCCCGGCTGCTGGGAGTTTCCAAGCTGGCAGTGAGAGCTATAAGAGCAGGACAGAACCCGGGTACGGGGACAGGCAGAAGCCCTGGAGCCTGCCTGCCACCCCGCACACACTGAGGCTATGCTGCAAGCCACAAGGGTCGGCCCTTCCCCTCCTGTGAGTATTTACAGACAAGGCTGCGCCGTCCTGGGGGCCTGGGATGGCCATGGGGCATCTGAGGAGGAGTCCTGGCCAGGGAGGGCTGGATGTGCCCAGGGGAAGGGGATGGGGATAGCAGGGAAAGCTTCCTGGGCACCCAGGCTCTGCTGGGACTCAGACTCATGGACAGTGCAGCACCGCTCCTAGGACACGAGCAGAGTTCCGGGGAGCAGGCATGGGGCGACAGGGGCCTGTACCCCTGTGTGCTGGCTGTAACCAGTGCTTGCTGTGTTTCTCAGCAGTGTGTCTACCCAGGCAAGCCAGGACTGACTTCACCTTCATTTCTTACCAGCAAACCCCCAATGATGGTGAGTACACGGGGCGCTTCTGGGCAGCACAGGGACTGTGCAGAGGCTGAAATTATCAGACAGGAACCAGAGGAGAAGCTCCTCTCTCTGCAAGCCTGTCCCGCACCGGGGTTAGTCCTGTGGGAAGCAAAGGAACTGATGTCCCTAGACATCAGACCTAGAGGTCCACTGCATCCCCAAGGTCACGGGCTGCAGTTGCTGTAATGCAGGTAACGGTTCCTCCTCAGGGAAGGAAGGTTTATAAGGATCCTAAAACCAGGGCAGGGAGGAGAGCTGAGTTTTGCTTGCACACATCCCACTTACTCTGGGGTGGGCAGAGGTGAAGCTGGTGAAACACACTGACACCAGCCCCAGGAGCAGTTTGCGAACAGTGGAGGAACTTGCTGGTGAGACACCGAAGGGAAAGGGTCTGATATGAACCATCCCATATGTTTTTTTCTTTCAGAAAGCAGGCACGAAGTGTGGGCTTGTTGTCCACTTGGTCTGCTTCCATGGGTAGAGCCCACAGTCCAGCTGGGAGATCCAGGATCGACACCTCGCTGACGCTTCACCTCTCTCCCCGTTGCACCATTTTTCCCCACCCACTGGAGAAAGCCCCAGTGTGGAAGGGGGGCCCAGTCACTAGCCCTGCTCAGGAGGGTGATGGGCAGGAGGTCGGCGAGAGTCGGCAGCAACATTATCTGCTTCCTAGCTGGGGTGGGACACTTCTGCCGGGAAGGAAGAGGAGCTCTGCTCTTCCACTTCTCAGAGTAGTGCTTCATGGTTGGGAGGTACCAAATAACTCCCGTAAAATGCTGTCCCAGGTATGTTCTCCTTCACCCTGCCGATGGGACAGGAACTTTGGTATTTCTGCAAAATCCTTACTGTCTGTCTTGTCCAAAACTACAAAATAAACAATGCCAAGTCTATCCTGGAGAAGTTTCTTTGGGGGTCAGAAGGCCCAGAGGAGGTGCGGGAACAGGGTAAGCTTTTCCAGCTAGCTTTAGGGAGCCCCTTCCCCTTGAAAGTCTCACTCTCTAAAGCCCCTGCCCCTCATTTCAAGTTCATCAGCTGGATCATTTCACAGAGCTGTGTTATGTGACCCAGGAGTCACGGCAGCATCCAAGCAGAGAAGGCATTCACCTACCTTGGGAAGCCAGGCCAGGCTGTTATGACTTAAAATACCAGCAAAATATCTACCAGCATCTGTTCAAGTCCTCTGAAATGGCTGCAGCCAAATTCTCAAAGAGATGCAAGATTTTAAAACCTCCATAAGGTCTTTCAGTAGCAGGAGAGAACTCCAGAAATACGCATCCCTTCCTCACACCGTAGTATTTCTGTTGGCAAAGAAACAAACCCAACTGGGAAAAAAAGGCTCTCTGTTTTATTAACTGAAAGTACCATCAACCTGATGTTGGGGAAAGAACATCTCCACCGCATAGCCCAAGACACAGGTGAAAAGCAGATGCAAAGCTGGCTGAAGCAGGACTGATTTATCCCCTTTTTGGTTCTGCCTTCCTGAGCTCAGAGCTGAAGGTGCTTCTCCATCTGCTCCCTCAACTTGTATTTCTGAATCTGGAATCAAGTGCAGAGAGGAGGAGGAGAAGTAGAGACTCAGGCAGGAGACAGGACAGGAGGCCAGGGCTCCTGCCCTGCCCCAGCCCCTCTCTTACCTTGCCTGAGACAGTGAGCGGGTACTGACCCACGAACACAACATACCGCGGGATCTTGAAATGGGAGATCTGGGAAGAGAAAACCAACTGCTACGCAACCGGCTGGGAACAGTGTATCCTGCCCAGCTGGTACTACCCAAGTCAGGCCTGGATCCCCAGTTGTTCTAAACCCCTGCACTCTCATCTGCAAATCCCCAGCAGGTACTCAGTGTACTGGTCCAGCAGGGAACTGAATTACTGGGCTCAGAGGAGTGTTAGACCCACCTTCCCTTTGCAGAAAGCTTTAATCTCTTCCTCGGTGCAGTCCTGCCCAGCCCTCACTCGGATGCAGGCGCAGATCTCCTCTCCCATCCGCGAATCCTTCACACCAACCACCTGGTTGGGACAGAAGGACGGTGTGACCCCTGGGGACATCCCTCTCTTCCTGCAGGGTATGTGTACTGGAAAAATGGTGCGAGCCCTGACCCATATCACGGGATGCTGGAGTCGTGGTGTGGGGCTGTGTAAAGGCAGCTTGAGCTGCCTGACCATCCCACCGGTGCTTTCTACACAACATCAAGCCTTCCAGGAAGAACTTCCCAACCGTTTGCCAGAGGAAAGGTGACAGAGAAGGCTGGGCACCCAGACACCAGCACCTTCCTTTGGTTTTGCAGAGTCACTGGAGCGAGGGCTGAGTCAGACCAGCCAGGCAGCAGCTCATCATGGATGCAATATGGACCTGTCATCCCTCTGCATACCTCTGCTTCCCCAAAAAATGGGGCAACAGGTTTCACGACCAACAGGGAGACTTGGGAGGCTGCTTCAAGTGCTTTGGGATCTCCAGATGAAACAGTAGGAGAGGGATGAAATCGAATTAAAGGATTATTTGAAACCCTTATAATGGCAGATCGTAGTAGACCACTGCCTGTGATACCAGGAGATAGTCTCTCTCTCTAAAGTTTGCTCACACTATTTCACAAGAGTCCTACTGTCATTCCCCGCTTTGAACCAGTATCTTGAAATCCTAGAGACACGTCGATCCTTTTGAGTCCAGAGCAGTGACATAAAGCCCTAGAAACTACATAAACAGGGCTGGTTTGCAACCCATCTGCACTGGGACTGTTCCAAGGAGAGATGCTAGCCTGGCACAGGCACAACACTGACTAAATAAATGGTTTATTTATGGGGAAACTTGTCTGGCACAAAACCTGGAGGAGAACAATCCCAGCAGATTGGGAGCAGCTGCTCAATGCTGCAAATCATTGCTGTCTTGCAAAGGGGTGAAACTAAGTCTCACTCTTCATCTCCAGGGACTCGTTGGAGGAGTCTTTTCGGATTTAGGAGTTTCGTAATTAATTATCAGTAAAAACTGTCCCTCCAGACTGCTTTCCAAGTAAGAATTTCAGAGGGAGCTATGAAAGTGGACAGGCAGTTTAAAAACTGAAGAATGACAGTTACTACTTTGCAGACATGAAGCTGGTGCACGAGGGGATTGCCCGAACCGATGTGCCCCGTGGCAGGAGCTCTGCCTGCCCCTTCCCTGCCATGAGCCTCTCCCTCCCCCTCGCCAACCAATATTACACAAAAGGAGACGCTGAAAACAGGGGAAAACAACCAGGTCCCAAGCAGCAGTCCCAGTAGCTTTGTGTACAGGTTTTCCACCACAGGAACCGTTGCTGCTCACCCACCCCACCTGCCTCCCGCTCACCTGGACCTCCTCAACCTTGGGGTGGGTGTGGAGAAACTGCTCAAGTTCTGCTGGGTAGATGTTCTCTCCTCCCCGAATAATCATGTCCTTGCAACGGCCTATAATTTTGCAGTAGCCATGCTCATCCAGGCTCGCAAGGTCCCTGCAACGACACCACATTCCTTGTCCTGTCCTGGCTGGGTGGAAGAATGGCTGATGCTCCCACCCAGCCTGGTCTGGCGGCCAGGTCAGGGTATCTGGAGGGTAACAGCTGATACGCCACCTGAACACATGGAAGAGATCAAAGAGCTCCTGCTACAGCCAGACATTGCCATCGGCAGCGTCCACACAAACATCAGGGCTCGGGGGGAGCGACTCCTGCCCCTGCGGTGTACCCCCACAGCCCCTCCACCACACTAGTAGCATCTCCAGGGGCACTTGGCACCGAGGGGTCTGTGCTAAAAGCTGTTCCAAAGTTTCACGGAGAGATCAGACACGGAGGAGCAGGGCTGTTTCCAGACTCACCCCGTCTTGTACCACCTCTCAGCAGTGACAACTTCGCTCGTCTTGGTGGGGTCATCCCAGTAGCCCAGCATGACGCAATAGCCACGGATCTGAAGCTCCCCAGGAGTGTTCAGAGGCACAGACTTCCCTGTTTCTGGATCCACAATTTTTGCCTGCAATGGAAAAGAAGGGCTTAGTAGGGGATGTCTGAGCCAAATGTGATGGTATGCCCCAACTCCAGCACCAGACAGAGAGGACGGACTGAGGTCCTGGAGCAGGTGGGGAGGGTCATGGTCACCTCTGTGTGGGGAAAGACACATCCCACCGTCTCGGTTTTTCTGGTGATGCTGTCATTGGGGAATCCCATGAAGGTGGCAGGGCTGTTTTCTGTGGTCCCATAGGCAACCTGAAAACACAAGAGGAGAAACATGCCTCAAGGGGAAAGAGGACTGCACAGCTCCAGGCATGGGAAAGATGAAGCTAGTGATGACCACAGGGGAGAGTGGAGTGGGAGGAGGATGTTCTCACAAGTCATTCAGGTCACAGGCAAGCATCGCTCTCCTGGCCTGTGGACAGGGCTCTCCAGACACTCCTGCCAGAGAGTCCTGGAGAGCCAGGAGCTAAAGCAGCACTGCACCTGCCTGCCACAGCCTTCCTCACCTCCATCGCTGTGCTCCAGACCCCCACCACCCACGACACTTTGGGTGTCATGTACTTTTGACACCCCAACTACTTTTCTTGGAGGACCCCAGGGTTCACCCTCCTCTTTTTTAACCTATGTCCCTCCAACCCCTGTTGACTCCCTACCATCTCCACCAGACACTGATTTTGCCTTGGTGCCCTTACAGCCATCTACTCAAGGTGCTGAATTCACCTTGCATCTTCTACAGCTCAGGGCACATCGGGCGTTGCTTTGGAAAAAACTTGGAGCCAGCAGTGGGCTCCTGTGGGAGACCGCATGTCCCATGGCATGGCTGCTGGCTCCAGATCCTTTTGTGCAGACATCAGCTCCTGTAACCCTCGTAAAGGCATCACGAGGCTGCACAACGCTCGGCGCAGCTGCACTTACAGACTGAAAGCCTCACAGCAGGACAAAAGCTTCTCGCTGCTAAACCTCCCTCATTGCTAATCCCAATGGCAAGCTCTGAGTCACCTCAGCTGAAGGTCACTTCTCCTCAGAGGAAAATTCCAGCTCTTTATGCCCAACTCAGTGGCCTGCCGAGACAGCAGGAGATGGGCAGGAGGTGGCTCTGGGCAGCTCTGAGCTGCACCGACAGCACCGTTGCTGGAATTGCTGCTTCACCTCCAGCTCTTTGGGAGCTGCGTTTCAGTGGTGGGACATGCTGGAACACTGCTCTGGTCTCTCTAACCCACTCAGCATATCGTGTGTCATCAGGCAGGGTTTCTCTCCCACCCACTAATGTTACCGGTGGCTGCTTTGCTGGGAGAGTACGACTGGGAAAGGGCCAATGCGGACCAATCCTTTCTCCTCCACATCTTCATACTGACACGTGAGCAGCTCTGACCCACTGAACTGCAACAGGGCCCGACCATCTTCCTACAGCCTTGGCACCCAGACTTGGGTTGTGCCTTTAGAGCAAACGCCTAAGCTCCATCGCTGGCTGCAAGGGAACATCTGCACGGTCAGGGCTTCTGCACGGCGCTCACTGAACTCCAGGCACTGCGCCCAAAATTAATGAGGGGCTTTGCAAAGGACTATGATGAGGCATCCTGAAAAAACATGCATATATCCCGAATGAGCTGTACATAATACTGGTGGGAGCACTTGGCACTTTCTGCCACTCGGGGCTGCTGAAGGATCTCACGTTGGACACAGTCTGTCCTAACGGCTGATGCTCTTGTTTGACTACACCGGGGTCAGCATGAATCCGAGCTGGAGATTTGCAGGAGCCTCCTCTTAGCCAGGAATCTGGAGGAGATAGTCTTCAGGATGCTGCAGAGACCATCTGGTGCAAACTGTTCTGCTAGGAGCCTGGCAGCCCACAGGGAGCGACTGTAAATAGGCTTCTCCTACCAGACGCAATGATAGCTTCCCAGTCAGGGTGGAAACCTACAGCGCCTAATGCTCAGACAGGATTTCTCTCCCACCCACTAATACGAGTCCTGTGGCTGGATCAAATGACTGACAAGACACAAATCCAAGATCTTAAACACTTATTAAAAATCCCAGCGCCTTTGTTTTTTTGTTTTATTCTGCTGGATGAATTGCAATGTCGGTCCCAGGATCCCGGCCAAGCCCTGAGTCAACCCTTTCTGCCTCTCCGGGTCGCTCCAGCAGTTTAATTGGACACAGCAGCAGGCAGCTCCCTGGCAAGACGATGCTGCGGGTGCCGTGGCTCACCAGGCTCCTCTAGATGCCTGGCAGCGTGCCGTGTACCCCAAGCACTGGCTGTCCGTGCCTTGGCCGGCGGCTTGTCCCCATAAACACTCTCACACCCTCAGTAACGGGTTTCCCAACTCAGCCCAGTGAGCAACGCCGGTCTGAACCTCCAGCCTTCAGTCTGCTGCCTGATCGCTCCCTTCCCCTCCCAGCCTGCCTGCACCGGCACCGCTCCCTGCAGCCAGTCACTAGGATGTTGCTCCTGACCTTTCCAAGATAGCATTTCTCTCTTGGAATAATGTTTTCTCCATCTGCATGCCCAGAACCGAGGCAGTGGCTGAAGCAAGCCCTCGTGCCAGCGCTGCTGTCCTTCCTAACCCTCATCTGACACGTGGAGCATCCTCCAACGGTTCCATCGTCCCAGCCCAGCCGCAGCTCGTGATGCACGAGATGAAACAACGCTTCCACAAAACCTCATATACCAATTTAAGCCTGGAGATATCCACGAAGATTCATAGCTTTCAAGACCCAAAGGGACACTTAGCATCATCTAGGTTTGTCATCTGGTATAATTCAGTCCAGAAAACCTCACCCAATAATTTCTGCATCAGCTCCATAATTTCCACTGGAGCTATATCTTGTGTCAAAGCAAAGCTTTTCAGAGGCAAGGAGTCCAGCTCAGACCCTTGGCTTTGAGCGGAGCTACAGAGAATATAATTGACTGTAAAGACTTTTTTACTGTGAGGACCACAAGTGACCCCCCAATGCCCAGCACGCAGATCAGTCCTGCCTTCAGCAACGACAAGGACAGCTCCAAAACAAACTGCTGCCTAACTCCTACTGACAAGAGATTCATTCTTTGTGAATCCGAAGCCTCTGTCTAAACCAGGAATAAAAAGAACATCTTAGCAAAACTGTGTTTTTTAAAGCACATTTCAGAAACATTTCCTGCTAGCACTGTTTAAACACTGGCCACTGTGGAACAGGCAAAACAGCCTGAAGAAGGAAGCGTCTAAAAATTAAAAATAAAGTAAAAACAATCAGACTCCAGTCTCTTTAGTAAACATTTGGGAGGCAGACTGATCTGGTGGGGAGAGCGGGGACTCTGAAGACCCTGGGTTTTTCCCAACCATGCCACTTATTTACTGCATAACTTGGAACGAGTCGCATCAGCTCTCTGCTCCTCGGTTTTCCCCAGCATTCAACAGCAATAAAAATACCCACTTCCCTCCACATTCAACTGCTGCTGAAAGGCTGCGATGAAAAGGCTGGCTTCAGGACCACCAGTACCCCAAGTGGGGTTACACTGGGTGGGACTGGAGCAGAAGGTCAGGGCTGCAGGAGGGCTCAAGGTCCTTGGAGGAAACCCCCTCTGGACCTGAAACGATGCTCAGGGAAGATCTTCATGTCTCTCATCACCACCCTTTGGTTATGCCACGCTGGAGGATGATGGCAGGGCTTGAACCACCAAACTAAAACCTACAGAATTTGAGCTTTGCTGAAGACAATATTGGCCTCGGAAGAAAGAAGCAAATTGACCATGAAATCATAGGGATTTTCAGACTTCAAAGAAGGCATAATGGACAACAGAAAGCAGACTGGCAACCCAAGAGATGTGCTAAGGAACCTCTAAGAGACCCTTTGAACCCCTCTCAGTGTAATGTGCCGGATGGATCTAATTATCCCTAAACCCCTGCTGAGTTGTGTTGTCTGCCTCAGATATCCCCACCAAAGTCAACCCCAGCCCTTCCCTTCGCAGCCAGCTCCAAATGGTTCTCAACTGAGCAAGGATCTTCCCTCATCCAGCTGCTCTCTACCAAGATGGCCCTGAATTTTGCTGTCCTCTGGGGACATGTGTCTCCTCGCTTTGGAGATGAACCGCTATCCCAAATTGTATTGGAATATTCCTGAACCTTCAGGTCAACTTTGCTGCTGCAAAAAAACAACTTCTGATCACATCCAGCCTATGTCACACTGAGATTTCATTTCCTTCCCCAGCAACAGTACCATCTTTGTGTCAAAAACGTCAGGGCACAAACAAGCAGGTCTTGTAGGACAAACCTCTAAGGGTGGCCACCCTGTTGGCATTTCTCCCCACCCAGAGAGCTGCCAGACAGTCCCAGTTTGGATGGGGCTTAAAAAGTTCCCAAAAATATCAGGTGCCCAAAGCACCGTCTTTGTGTTGTAGCACGCAATGGCTTTGCCTCAGGAGGTGACCACTGCAAAAATGGCAACCCAGCTTGCCCGAGCCAGAAGACCGCCAGTGAAAATTAACCTCCTGTTATTGTACAGTCAGGACAAACCGCTCCTCATGGTCTGGAGTTAAAGCTGCCTCTCTTCTTTCCAGGCTGAGCAGAAGTCTTGAGGCTTGCAAGTATTTCCCCAGTCCTGCCAGCATTTCAGAAGCACTGCCCAGTGGCAACCAGCAAAGACATGTGCAGTTACTTACTGATCTATCCACAGCTTGATAAAAGGTCTTTGCTATGTAATTAACTCCATCCTCCCTGCTGCTGGGTGCCAATGCATTTAGAAAAGGTGAAATTAAAAGGAAAAAGTGAGAGGAAGCGTGCAGAAACAGAGTGTCTTGCATTGATGGAAAACCACTGGTTTGGGGCTACCTTTGAATGCTCAAAGCTGCTGGAGAAGGAAACTTGGCAAAAACCGAGGGGCAAAGGTAACATCCCCATGGATTTAGAGAGCTCAGCTCCTACCGAAGTCATGGCTGGAAGTCCAGGATCTTGTTGCTTCCATGCTGCATTTTAAATGTTCTCACAGCACATTCCCATAGCTTCTGTAGCTACTGTAACCACATACTCATCAGGCCCGGCCCAAAAATGAGGTGGGATGGGATGGGGAGGTCTCACTTTGGCCAAGGACAAGCAGGGAAGTTGTCACTGAGTGGAGCCGATTTTCCATTTTGAGAACAGGGGGCACTCATGGCTGGAGACCATTTGGGAAAGTCGGACGTCTTGCATGGATCGGTTGTGTTCTGCAAGGGAAGAAAGCTCCACTCTTCTTCAGAGCCTGCAAGAGCTGCAGAGAGGACAGCAGCCCTGGGCAAAGCA